CTCCTCCCATCTATTTCTCTGCTGTCCAGGTATCTTTGCCATATCCTTATCTTAGCACACCAAGGGTCCTACTAGCAGAATATAGTCTTCTTAAAGAGACTATTCTTTGGAAGATATAACAAGGAAGCAGAATAGAGAGGATTCATTCAAAATTCCGTTAGAGAGGTTTTAATCTATATCTAGCTGTTGTGGGCAAATAGCTGGAACCACTTTATTGACTGTCTGCCTGCTGAAAACCAGATGTTGTTCTTTGAGCTTCCAGACCTACACCAGAATCCTGAAACCAGGTACACATGCACCCTTCACTGCAGAGCCCGGAACTAGTTGGGAGTCATTTTCCTGCGGAACTAAAATCTCAGGTTCTTCAAATTTAAGGGAATCCTAATTGTAGAGCCCCTAACTCTGCAACTCAGGGTTGATGGGAAATTTTTAAATGCAATCTTTGAAAGAGGCTTCTTCTGAAACAGAATACAGAACTTTTGAACAGAAGTGTTCAGCTGAGCAAAAAGTCCAGAATGGCCCAGATTGTAGGGGATCAAAACAATTAAAGACAGTCTGAGGGAAATGAGAGAGGCCTAAAATAAATTTAACTGCCTGCTTACCAGGAGCATAGGAACATTTACTTTGGGGGCAAGTCTGGATTGCACTGCTATGAAAAGGACCATGAATCCTCAGAGTGAAATGGTAAAGGGAGCAGAAAAGATAGAAAGAGGCCCCCGTTAAGTGTGGGCGGCACCATTGCTAGTCTGGTGTCTGATGGCATTTTTCGAAAATGATACCATTTGTAAAATGAGTTTAAAATAGGATTTGACTAGTGATTTCATGTCTGTAAAGAGTATTGATTATTTTGGGATTTCCTCCAATGTTTAGAGGCTCCGTCCTTTGAACCCGCGGATTGACTAGTTCCTCTACAGCTGCTCTCGGTGCTTAGCAAGTTTCCTGGTCCTGTTGCTAGGAGACCAGGGTGACTTCTCAGAAGTGGGCCCTGTGACAAGCATCATGAGGCGGTGGTGGGCTCTGCCGACTAGCCACAGTGCCATCAAGCGGTCACTCTGCAGAACAGTGAGACAAGGTTGTTTTGTGTCCTCTGTTCTCTCATTAGAGAGCTCTGAGATGGTCTCTGTTCCAGATGAATTAGCAGGTTAGTGAACAGTGAGGGATTGTTTATTCTCTTGTACTCTTCTGCACACAGTGAGGGTTTTTTTCTCCAATAGATGAATCATGCCACGGCAAGCAGGATGGATGAAATTAGAAGAATGCTGGACTGGTTGGTGGAAGGCATTTTAGGTCACCCCTAATTTGACCTCTCTTGGTTGTAATTCCTTCTAAACAAGGGGTATGGGCTGGGTCTCTCAAAGTCCCTTCTATCCCCAAATCTCTAATTCTTTGCTGCTTTTACACGCAGTTCTTCCAGAAGAGCTTATCCTCGAAGCTGATCTTGGTCAAGCAGCTTCAACAGACTTTGGTTATGTTGCTTCACAGTGACTCTGAGCAGGTGGCAGCAAGGCTGCAGGGGTAAAGGGAAAAACCTGTGCCTACCACGAGAGGCAAAATTGCCAACCTTATGTGGCAAATGCCTCTGCTCCTACATACCAGGAGTCCCCCTGGGTAAAACTGTCCTTCCCAAGCAAGGAATTCTGGCCCAGGAAATCAGCTCCAGGTGTCTTGGGTAAGAATCTGTGAGGTAAGGTCAACAGGGAAGCACATCTGAGCAGGATGTACTTGTGGACTTTCAGCAGCAGGCTGGTTGGATTAATGGGTTCACTGAAGATTTCTATAGAAGAGAAAAAGGAATTCGAATTCCACCTCAAAGGATGAATCCCTGTCCCTTCCTTTTGACAATCTCTGGAAGCCAGCTAAAGGATTGTCTCTACTCTGGACCCAGCTTCACATTACTTTTCAAGTCCTGTTTGGAGGCTACATAAATCCAGATTCCCAGTGTGCCTCATTACACTCCTGTATGGAGACCGGGGTAATTTTTCACTCTCTCCAATAACCTGCCTCACTGTTGATTTAACTCTGGTTCTTGCCAGCCAAATATGAATTATGGTGAATGCTGTTCTTGTCCTGTTGGGACTTATGGGAATCTTCATGGATCTGTGCATTATATCCATAAGTTTCCTCTGATTTCAGGATCAAGTAAAACAGGAACCCTGAGTATCAAACAACCCAAACCAAAATACAGTGAATTATCAACATGCTAAGACAATACAGCTGAATTATCGTATGTCACAAGAGTATGATTTGGTTGACACTTTTGTCATTATTTGGGGGATTCTTAAAAAAAAAAAAAACTACTTTCGGGGGCAGCCCCGGTGGCTCAGCGGTTTAGCACCGCCTGCAGCCCAGGGCGTGATCCTGGAGACCCGGGATCGAGTCCCACGTCGGGCTCCCTGCATGGAGCCTGCTTCTCCCTCTGCCTGTGTCTCTGCCTCTCTCTTTACCTCTAATGAATAAATAAATAAAATCTTAAAAAAAAAAACCTACTTTCTATAACAAGAGTTTGTATGAAATTGTCTCCAATTTCCATCTACTGGGGTAAATTCACAGAACGTTAGAGATAGAATGGAGCTTATATTCATCTAGTCTCTTTTAGTTTAAAATGAAATCTAAAAATATATATCAACATAAAACTGAGGTAAATCAAATTTAACTTTTTGCACTCTTTTAAAAATATTTCATTTAGGGACACCTGGGTGGGCTCAGTTGGTTAACTGGCTGCCTTCAGCTCAAGTCATGATCCCAGCCCCATGATGGAGCCCCACATCAGGCTTCCTGCTCCAGCCCAATTGAGCCTCATGATTGAGCCCCACATCGGGCTCCTTGCTCAGTGGGGAACCTGCTTCTCCCTCTGCCCCTCCCCCTGCTTGTGCTCTCTCTCTCTCAAATAAATAAAATCTTTTTAAAAAATTCCAAAAAAATTTTTCCATTTAAATGGATCAAATAAATAAAATGTCCATTTAAATTGAGTATTTTTTATAACGGACACAAAAAAATGGACAAGAATGCAGTCTTCTCTCTTTTTTAACAGGTCTGAACCACAGAATTCAAGGGCCAAGTAAGAGAGTGGTCTAGCTCATTTTGTCATTTTCGACTGCCATCTGCTGATGGGATAATTGAGGAGGAAAAAGAAAAGGAAGAAAAATATGAGATGTTCTATCTCTTGAATCTATTGATTGAAGGAAGCACCTCCACTTAAAAACATCAGCTCTGTAGATGTTTTGTAAATGAGATATTTTATGGTGGTTGTTCCTAGCCCTGAATATCAAACCCAGTCTTATCTCATTTCCCTGTGATTGTGTCTCTGATACTCAGCACCACAAGTCTAAAACCTATCCACAACCAAAGAAAGGGTGAGGGTCAGCTCATTAAATTTCACCTAGACTCTCTTTTTAAGAATGGCCAGATTCTCTTAGACCTTAGATTTCCACCCAGGCAGCAGCCAGGAGGCCCAATGAGGCCTGCCTGGGGGTGGTCACTCACGTGTTCGAGAGACTTCTGTAATGTCCAAGAAAAGAGTGACTGACATACTTGCAGCTGGAGGACCTGAGTGTGATTTCCAGCCCCGTCACTCTAATGTGGGCAAGTCACACACCACGGCATTTCCCCATCGGTGAAGCAGAGATGACAAATACATCGCAGAATTCTTTCGAGAGGGATGCCTGGGTGGCTCAGTGGTTGAATGCCTCCCTTTGGGCCGGGGCGTGATCCTGGAGTCCCAGGATTGAGTCCCACATCGGGCTCCCTGCGTGGAGCCTGCTTCTCCCTCTGCCTGTGTCTCTGTCTCTCTGTGTCTCTCATGAATAAATAAATAAAATCTTTAAATAAAAAATAATTCTTTTGAGAGGATAAAATGAGATAATGCAGGTAAAATCGCTGAATTGTAATTATTATTTGCGGCTCTTAACTGGGATGTGAAAATGCATACCAGTCTTGCCAGTAAGCCTTTGATTATTTAATTAAGAATGTTTCTAAAATGTGTTGGCCCTAGATTTGAAATATAAGAAATCTGACAAACAGAGAAGAAAACCTCGAGATATCACAGGCAAAGAGTTTAGGCTTGGGAAGGGTGTGAAGTATCCTGGAGGGAGAAGAGGGCAAAGAGGCATTGGCTGGGTAAATGGGCTCATGTCTGAGTCTCTAGGAGAATGAAGAAGATGCTCCTTGTCCTTGCTATCTTTGTGTATAGGGTAGGCCTGGGCAGCCAAAGACCTCTGCCTGAACTGCAGAGTCTAGAGAAATGCTATCTGTTGTTTCTCCCGTTGGCATTTTCTGGGTTTGCCCAGCAAGGACACCTATTCATTGGCTTGAGTTTAACTCAAAAATGGGAAGTAAACGTCCCAGACACAGCCTAGATGGGACACAGATGTGAGAAAAACACCATGTTGACTTCAGAATTTTCAGGGCATCATCATTGCTTAGGTTAGGGGGCAGGGGGAGGCTATTAGGCAACTTTATCAGTTTTCTTTCCCTAATAATCCTGATTAAAATTCAATCACAGAAGACTTCCCAGCAAGTTCTAGTATATTCCATCCACAGGAGATCTGGGCAGTGGTGGTTACTTGGAAGAAGGTGATGTAAAAACACACACAATATTAATACTCCCTCAATGTTACTTAGAGAAATCCACATCTCTGAGACATGTGACACAAAAGATTTCATTTGGAACAGAAGCTCACAGTTACAAAATTTCAGTAGGGAGAAGAAAAAAGAGATAGAATAAAACTAACTTGAGTCATGAATCAAAGACTGTGTGTATGGTTTATGCTTTTTGGACCTAATAATGTAGGAAAGCATTCTGGTTTTTTATGCATGTAACTAATATAGTAAAAGGACTATTGAGCATAGCTCAAGGTAAAAGCTTCCTCTAAAACAAAAAGCAACCAAAATAAAACCACAGAAATTATAATCAATAATTAAATGCACTTTACATAATAAAACATTTCCTTCAGCAAATTGGTTGGAAAAAAACATAAATAGCTTCTGTTTTTAGAGTTAAAGCTTTTTAATCTCTGGCACATAACAATAATTGAAAGAATTCTGCGAAATTACACAAAAGTATTTGGTGGATTTGAATTAATGGGCCAAGCGAGCTTTTTTTCCTTGGCTTCTCTGTCAAATGAATCATAGATCGAGTCTTTGGTTATAGTTTTGGCCGTGGGAGGAATTTCTGAAATGCCAACGTAGTTTTTTTTGGCCATCCTTGAACTGGTTGTGATAGTATAGGCATTGCTTCGGTAACACTTCATTGAGGACATGCAAAAAGTCTCTTTCATTCCTCTCCTAAAGTTGGCATTATAGATGGAATACAGTGTAGGTTTAGAGGCTGAAGAACTAAAGGATATCCATGTGATAGCCGTGAAAACAAGGGAACTTTTCTTGGAGTCTCGTTCGTGGGGGTGCCACAGCTGAGCTACATGGAAAGGCAGCCAAGAGAGCAAAAACAACAGATTCAAAATGAGGAACATCTTGATAGTTTTCACTTTTGTCCTTGGGACAATGTTCATCGTCCTCCTCACTGTTCGGCCATCAGTGCCTATTCTCCAAATATACTTCACAACCTTCTGGTAAAATAAGATGATGAGGATGGATGGAATCACAAAGCTCACCAAGAAATGGATGACGGTATAGGCGGTTCCTTCCCAAGAAGAAGGGAAGAAATAGTTGCAGTGACTGTCCCAGCTGGAGCCAAAGAAAAAGAACACGGGGCTCACAAAGGCTGCATCGAAGATCCACGATGCCGCGATCATTTTCTTGGCTTTTTCCCTGGATACCTTGAAGCTCAGAGGATAGACGATGGTGTAGAACCGGTCTATGCAGATGGAGAGGAGAACGTAGATCTGGACACCCGGCGTGAGATACTGAAAATACCGCACGACCTTGCACATCACACTGCCAAGTGTCCACCTCCCAGTGGCAAACTGAAGCAGGACAAAAGGCGTGCTGGCCACGCTGATGAGGAGATCCGCGCAGGCCATGGAGACCACAAAGTAGTTGGTGGTGGACTGAGTCCTCCTACTCCTGTGGATGACCAAACAAACCAGGGAATTGCCAAATATAGAAAACAACCACAGGGTCCCAAAGAAAATGCTGGCAGTGGCCACTTCCCCAGGTTTCAGTCCAGGCTGCAGGCCAGTTCTGTTGTTCATCCAACTGTGCTCCTCCTGTAGTTCCATCAGGTCATGGCTTGGCAGGGGTGTGGTTGTTTCAGTGCAGCTGTGGTTCTGGAGGGGCACCAGAAGTGTGGGAATAACCAGAGGCGGCTTGCTGTTATCCATTCTGTGAGCAAAAACCATACTCACTTTTTCCCTCTTAGTTCTGGATAAGGAAAGAAGAATGAGGCCTCCTGTTAAAATGGTGTTACAAAGAGCAGCTCCTAAGGCTAACAATCTTATTTGACACTTAGACTGGTTGTCGTTTGCCAGCGAGGAGGACTTGTGCATTGGCAGGAAAACTGGACTACCAATCAGAAAAGGCTCTGGCTCCATCTCGCTTTCGTTTTAGGAGTTTTAGCTGATCCCAGCTTAGGCTCTCTTGGGCCTCCCCTCTCTCGACCTGTGGTCGAGTGAGGCAGAACTCATGCCAAGCCCCACCCCTGAACATACATACCCTTATTGCCTTCACTCACTGGGGACCTACAAAGGGTTAGGGTGCTCAAATCTGGCTCATGGTAAGGATACCGCACCCCAAATGAAGAGCTGCTGGGATGCAGGGCATGTAGGTGAGAAGTCACTAAATGTCGTGACACTAAAGTAATGAGGCTGCGAGCAGAAAATGTGGGCAGATGGAAACATACATGTGAGCTATGGAAATAGCTCAGAAGGATCTGTGCGTTCAGACTGGCTGGCTCCTGGAAACAGCCCTGTTCTTACTTATGCAGAATTTCCAGCACAGAAGCATTATGGAAGTACCTGGAGCAATTGTATGTAACACTTTTACATGAGCCAGAAGTAGTGCCTAGTTTAATGACATCTAAAAATAGCTCACTTTCTCCAAAAGATGATGTAGTGCATGTTCTAATAGGTTTGCCACTTATCAGTGACATATCTTCATGTCCTTCTGCTGTTACTGTTTCATAAAATGACATACTGACTGCAAACATACAAGATGTTCTCTACAGAATTTAACCAGGTTACTGGAAAGCTTATGGCATCTGGATGATTAAAAGCAACCAACTAGGACAGTCCAACTAGGACAGCCACTGGGTGGCTCAGTTAGTTACATGTCTGCCTTCGGCTTAGGTCATGATCCTCGGGTTCTAGGGTGGAGCCCTACATCCACATGAGCTCTCTGCTCAGAGGGGAGTCTGCTTCTCCTTCTCTCTCTGCCCTTCCCTCCAATTTGTGTTCTTGTTCACTCTGCTCTCGCTATGATCCTTATATATAGAAGAATATTTAAAAGTTTAGCCCTTATTTTAACTTCTGGGAGGGTACTTTTGGGTGAGAAAAGAAGTTATACTTTTTAATAGGTAAAACAATTATATACCTTAAAAAATAAAAAATAAAACAATTATATAATTGTGGGCTATTCAGTTACAATTGGGGTGATTTGAGTTGCAGTTAGATTATTAAGGTATAATTTGGTCTGAACCTATTAAGCAGAAGGGAGAAAGCACAGCACCTAAATCCAAAATAACCAGAGCAACTGGTTAGGCTGTCGCACAAGGGGAGGGTACTCCAGTAGCAGGCTCCAACAGGACCCAGTGTCCCCCCTGCTGGGCTCCTGTGACTAGCCTCACAAAAAAAAACCTTTCCAAAGTTTTAGAGGTGGGATTAAAAAATAGGTTTGTTTGTTTAAAAGATTTCATTTTGGGGGTGTGTGCCTGGGTGGCTCAGGAAGTTTGCCTTTGGCTCAGGTCATGATCTCAGGGTGCTGGGATCGAGCCACACATCAGGCTCCATGCTCATTGAGGAGTCTGCTCCTCCATCTGCCCCTACCATGCTCTTGCTCTCTCTCTCAAATAAATAAACAAAATCTTTTTTTTAAAAATGTAAAGATCTTTTTTTAAAAGTAATCTCTAGGGGATCCCTGGGTGGCGCAGCGGTTTGGCGCCTGCCTTTGGCCCAGGGCGCGATCCTGGAGACCCGGGATCAAATCCCACGGCGGGCTCCTGGTGCATGGAGCCTGCTTCTCCCTCTGCCTGTCTCTGCCCCTCTCTCTCTCTCTCTCTCTGTGACTATCATAAATAAATAAAAATTAAAAAAAAAAAAAAAGAAACCAAGACACTAGGCTAGGTCCTAGGTGAACAAAGATAAGCAAGGCCCAGAAGAGGGCAAATGTATAAATAAGCTGCCTAACTGTATATAATTATAATTGATGCTAAAAAGAAAAGGAACTAAGCGGCAGATAAAAACAAGGATCCAATTTTGCATGGGATAGGAGAAGGGAAGATTCCATAGAGAGGAGGTGTTTTTTTTTTTTATTTTTTATTTATTTATTTATTTATTTTTTTTTTCATAGAGAGGAGGTTTGAGCTGGGGACGTGGACTGGGACTTCTTTAGGGAGGCAAGGGACTGAAAAAAACATTCCAAGGGGGGAGAGAGAGAGCACATGGAATGGTTTGGAGGATCATCCTTCCGGGTTGATCTTTTTTGGGCCATTTTCCCTTTAGAGACATTGTTTTCTGCAAACCACACCTCCCAGAGTTGATAGTTTCTAAATGCCCTACAATCAAACTAACCTAACTTTTCTCCAAGGTTACATTTTCTGTATTCGTGGGCTGCAATGTGGTCAGAAGGTGGAGGAGAATATTGACATATCCAGAATGGCTGTGGTATCCTTGTTCACACAGCAGTTTGTCAGTAGTTTACTACAGCATCTCCCAAGTGTGTTCTGCTTTACAGCAATGGTTCTCTAGCTTAGCCACGCATCGGACTTTCCCAGGGAGATTTATAAAAATACCCATGCCCTGGTCCTACCCCAGAGATTCTAATTTAATTGGTCTGTGCAGCCTGAGCAGCGGGAAATTTCAGGGTTCCCCCAGGTGATCCTCATGTGCAGGAATCCCAGCTTTAGAATTGCTTCTATGTTTCTGTCTTCCCCCAGCAAGCTGTGGGCTCCCAGAAGAAGAATGTTATTCTTTTTTCTTTACATTGATAATTGTTACTAAGTATTTATTGGATCAAATCCATAAGGACAGGGAACTAAAATGCATGACTCCTACTCTAAGGGGGCTCTGCTAGGAGAATTAAACCCAGAGATAGAGAGCCTTTGTGTCTTCTCTGAGAGCTGAAACACTGGCGACCACATGGAGACAGGGAAAACAGACTCCTGAGAAGAGCCAGGCAGGCAAAATTGAAGTCACCCTGGACGACGGCTACCTACAGTAGAGTTCTCATTTTTTTTTAAAGATTTTATTTATTTATTCATGAGAGACAGAAAGAGAATGGCAGAGATACAGGGAGAGGGAGAAGCAGGCTCCCTGTAGGGAGCCCAACATGGGACTGGTTCCCAGGACCCCATGATCATGCCCTGAGCCAAGGGCAGACGCTCAACTGCTGAGCCACCCAGGCATCCCAGTAGAGTCCTCATTTAAGGGAGAGTGAAGGTAGCTGAGGTGTCCTCAGACAGGCTTCTGTAATCCCACTCCGGAAAAAAATAGCCTGCCATATCATAACTAAGTTCGAGGATCCCAAAGTAAAGTTTCAGAAAGGTCTCCTCTGCTCCATTAATTTGGAAATAAATCCTTCTTCAGGGGAATGTTTCTGAAATACAAGGGCTGCTTAATTATTATGTTTGGCTCTTCCACATGCAGTAACTTAACAGTAATAGAAAAGACGTCACCTCTTTCCTGATCAACCTGTGTCTTCCCATCCTGTTCTGAGACTGTCATATGACACACCACGCTGAGTATTGAAGGTTCTTATTAAAATATATCTCTATATAGGGGCATCTGGGTGGCTCAGTTGATTAAGAATCTAACTCTTGATTTCAGCTCAGGTCATGATCTTAGGGTTGTAAGATGGAGCCCCATGTCTAGCATGGAGTCTGCTTAAGATTCTCTCCCTCTGCCCCTCCCCACCCCTGCATACTCTCTTTCAAAAACAGAAGAAAGAAAGAAAGAAAGAAAGAAAGAAAGAAAGAAAGAAAGAAAGGAAGGAAATAAATAAATCTGGGGTGCCTGGGTGGCTCAGTCAGTTAAATGTCTGCCTTCAGTCCAGGTCGTGATCCCAGGGTTCTGGGATCAAGCCCAAAGTCAGGCTCCCTGTTCAGCAGGGAGCCTGCTTCTCCCTCTGCCCCTCCCCCTGCCCATGTTCTCTTCTTGTTGGCAGTCTCAAATAAATGAATACATCTTTTTTAAAAAAGATCTGAGAGGACTCATTCATCTATCACACCCTAATACAGGTGTTTTAATACATAGGTGGAGAAATGACGGATGGGTTGATAAGGTATCAAACTAGGGACTGGGTGGACCTAGGTAACAATGGGAGCCTAGGGGGTCTGGAGGGTGGGGTAAATGTCTATCACTGTGTATCATAATTTTTATTTTGAATGTTCATCTTCCCCATAAGGTTACGAGTCCCTTAAGGACAGTGGCTATGTTTTTATCTCTAAATCCCTAGGGCATATAGATATTAATAAAAGTTTACTGAAAATAAATGGGTAAGTGTGTTAATAGAAAGTATCCAATACTTGAGGGATGCCAGGGTGGCTCAGTCAGTTAAGCATCCAACTCTTGTCTTCAGCTCAGGTTGTGATCTCGTGGTTGTGAGACTGAGCCTCACAGCAAACTCTGCATGGGTGTGAGGCCTACTTAGGATTCTCTCTCTCTCTCTCTCTCCCTCTGCCTCTCGCCTCCCTCTCAAAAAAAAAAAAAAAGGATTTTTAAAAAAGTATCCAATACTTGAAAATAAGGCAAAGAGAGTATAGAATATCTTTTTAATATCATGCTAGGACATTGTTAAATGGGCTTCCCCTAAGAATTATTTAATTCTCTGGGAGAATGCATCTGTGCTTGATTTTGCTATTTACTACATGACTAGAGCCCAGACATTGTGAAGATACATGTTAACATGGAGATTTCTGTATAGCAGAAAAAATAACCCAAAAGGTGATGAACTTATTGCTCTGTAGGACATTAACCAGTTTTTTGTCTATCTAGCAATCTTATGTCCACCTTCTTTAAAAAAAAAAAAAAGACAATAACAAAAGCCTATAAATACATATTTACTTAAATGCTCTTGGAACCAGCCTAATTATCTCACTGGTTCCTTCAGTAGTAAGTTGATAAATCTCTGACATACATTCACCTTCTATTTGTATAAGTCATGATTTTATTTATTTGTTTGTTGGAGAGGAGGACTGAGGGAGAGAGACA